TGCAGAAAGTCACTTTATGTGGCTTAGGTGACAGCACACCTCCCCCACAAGCCCTGGGCTCAGTTTGATAACTACAGTATGCAGTATTTGAAAAGAAATATTAGCAAAATACAGTAAAACACACATACATATACAGTGCATTTGGAAAGTATTCATACCCCTTGAATTTTTCCACATTTTGTTATGTTACAGCCTTATTCAAAAATTGATTAAATAGTTTTTTTTCTCCTCATCAATCTACACACAATACCCCATAATGACAAAGCAAAAACAGGTTTTTAGAAATGTTTGCAAATGTATTAAAAATAAGAAAAATGAAATACATTAACATAAGTATTCAGACCCTTTACTGCCACCCCCATGCTTCACCGTAGGGATGGTGTCAGGTTTTCTTTAGACGTGACGCTTGGCATTCAGGCCAAAGAGTTCAATATTGGTTTCATCAGACCAGAGAATCTTGTTTCTCATGGTCTGAGAGTCCTTTAGGTGCCTTTTGGCAAACTCCAAGCGGACTGAAATGTGCCTTTTACTGAGGAGTGGCTTCCGTCTGGCCTCTCTACCATAAAGGCCTGATTGGTGGAGTGCTGCAGAGATGGTTGTCCTTTTGGAAGGTTCTCCCATCTCCACAGAGGTGCTCTGTCAGAGTGACCAAGGCCTGATTGCTCAGTTTGGCCGGGCAGAAGAGTCTTGGTGGTTCCAAACTTCTTCCATTTAAGAATGATGGAGGCCACTGTGTTCTTGGGGACCTTCAATGCTGTAGAAATGTTTTGGTACCCTTCCCCAGATCTGTGCCTCGACACAATCCTGTCTCTGAGCTCTACGGACAATTCTTTCGACCTCCTGGCTTGGTTTTTGCTCTGACATGCACTGTCAACTGTGGGACCTTATATAGGTGTGTGCCTTTCCAAATTATGTCCAATCAATTGAATTTACCACAGGTGGATTCCAATCAAGTTGTAGAAACATCTCAAGGATTATCAATGGAAACTGGATGCACCTGAGCTCGATTTCGAGTCTCATAGCAAATGGTCTGAATACTTACATAAATAAGGTATTTCTGTTTTTTACTTTTAATACATTTGCAAAAATTTCTACAAACCTGTTTTGCTTTGTCATTATGGGGTATTGTGCGTAGATTGCATTTATTTAATTTAATCTGAATACTTTCCGAATGTACTGTAGATGTAGTCAAAATGCAAATAAGACATGTTTCATATTAATAAGAAAAATGTACATCTGTTATATGACAGGGGACTGGAAGCTTGTTGTGTGCAACAGGGAGGGGCTGCAAGCTTCACAGAAAAATGCAAATTGAAACATAGCCTATCTATCTATGGGTAACAGAGTTTACATATTGTGCTCGATGCACTCAGTTTTCCACCACAAAACACCAGAAAATTACCAAAAAGAGTAGAACCAGCTCCTCTGCTTTTGCACTGTGATTTGACTATTATATGTTCAATGTTTCTTTTGAAAAAATGATTTACAAAGGAATAGTTTGACCATTTTAAAACGAGAGTTCAGTTTATGTAACAGGGTTGACCTTAAAATGAGGGACAGAAGTAAATGAATCACTCATCACGTGAAGAAAAAAAAGTATTCAGAAATGACTTTTCATAGCTAGTACATAACTAGAGCTTTAAAATAATGGTGAAAACATTAAGAAATGTTGGGGTTAAGTGTGTTAAAATCTTCCTAGAAGTTGGACAAACATTATGAGGGACATGTCAAAATGCTGATTTGAAATTGGATTTATTTAATTTTCAATGTGGGTTATGTTAAACGGCACTGGATTTAATATAACAGGCTTTTAAAATGTAATTGTGGCAGAATTTCTACTTAAAATATTAAAGGGATGTAAAAATGTACTCTATTCGTGGAAAGACTCAGTTGCTGAAATTCTGAGTAAACACTAAGATTGGTGAGGTGACAAAACCACCGATTGCACTCATTCTGAACATCTTCCCTTAGCAATATAATGGGTTCTGTGTGTGTGTGTGTGTGTGTGTGTGTGTGTGTGTGTGCGTGTGTGTAGTGTCATTTACTACAGACCTGACTGGAGTGTGACAGGCTACATGACCTGACAGAACCGACTCCTGTCTTCCCGTCCCTTACTATAACTAAATACTTCATACACTTCTCTACATACCTTACCTTCCTACCAAAATAGAACAGATACGGAATGGAAATTACACCGAAAATCTACATCACAATGCCAAAGCAATCCCCAGTCATGTCATGGAATGTTTCTTCAAAATACCATACATGTTATGACACTGTAGGTCTATACATTTTATAGTCCTCCTCGGCATATGTTTGTATACAATCTTCTTATAGCTACTATAACTACAGTACTCCTGAGTGCCGCAGTGGTCTAAGGCACTGCATCGCAGTGCTAACTGTGCCACTAGAGATCCTGGTTCGAATCCAGGCTCTGTCGCCGCCGGCCGCGACCGGGAGACTCATGGGCGGCACACAATTGGCCCAGCGTCGTCCAGGGTAGGGGAGGGAATGGCCGGCAGGGATGTAGCTCAGTTGATAGAGCATGGCGTTTGCAAAGCCAGGGTTGTGGGTTCAATTCCCACGGGGGGGCAGTATAAAAAATATATATATATTCACTAACTGTAAGTCGCTCTGGATAAGAGCGTCTGCTAAATGACTAAAATGTAATGTAGATGTACTGTACGTTGCTCTGAGAGCAATAGGCTACCTAAACATGTGATGAGAAGAGGGTTGACTTCAATCTGAGTATGTGAGATCAAAGACCGGAAAAAAAATACAGAGGTTTTAATGAGTTCATTGCCATTCTGATCAGAACGTTTGGCTTACATTTTCATTTATATTTTTACTATATTTTATTGTCTATTGTCCAAGTCTTGTGACTTGGAAGCACACCCATGTCCACTCCCCTCATGATGACCATTGACCTACAATGACCATGCAGAAATTCACCATTGGAAAAGTTATGTCAAAAATAGTGACATTTAATCATTGTATATATGTCACTAAAGCTAACATATTAGGTGTCACTGAAGCTGACATATTAGATATATGTCACTTTTGGTGACATATTACTTATGTCACTATAATAATTTATGAGTATTTCACCAGCAAATAAGATCGACTTGAAAAATTACACTACGGTTAGGGACAGGTAAAAGGAGGTAGATGAAAAACATTGAGAGGGAAACTCCAACCTGAACTTCTAACAGGAAGTATGTGGGTAGACAGGATGTGCTGCACTGTTGTTAATGGAAACATAAAAGAGTAAGCTATCTTTTTTATCAGAGCAGGCTAAAATAGTTACATTTACATTTTAGTCATTTAGCAGACGCTCTTATCCAGAGCGACTTACAGTTAGTGCATACATTATTTTTATTTTTCATACCCCCCGTGGGAAGCGAACCCACAACCCTGGCGTTGCAAACGCCATGCTCTACCAACTGAGCTACATCCCCGCCGGCCATTCCCTCCCCTACCCTGGACGACGCTGGGCCAATTGTGCGCCGCCCCATGGGTCTCCCGGTCGCGGCCGGCTACGACAGAGCCTGGATTCGATTAGTTCATCTACAGTAGTCGGTTTGTCAGTCAATAGGCCTACCTATGGCTTGAACTCACAAGATTAGAACGATAGCAGGTTGATGGTGCAGGAGAGGGTTCTCTAGTCTTGATGAGTAACTCATCAAACACTATCTTAGCTAAGGTGTTGCTATTTAATACTGATGGCTATAAATGTTTTGGCTAAAAATACAAAATGTAAGGAGACATGAATGAGAGACAGAGAAGTTGCTCTGTTATTGGTAAATGTTTCTGCGAAGTAAATTCTGTGATCAACAGGCTTTTTGTTCCAACGTGTTTCCAGTGAGATGACCCAAACCTCAAGATGTTTAGCATGTAGTTGACACTCAAACAGCTGTGATGTCACGTGTGTGTTTCTCTTATGCCCTCCCAGCTTCCCCTAACACCTGTGCTTACTTCAAGAGAAGTTAAGAGGAAATACCTCTTACTATTATCACAGGACACCTGGACTGGACACCACAGAAACAGTCCAGTAGACCTTACAGGAAGATGTGGTAGTGGAGAACATCACACCACCCACTGATAGATGAGAAAAGGGGAAATGAAAACCATTTGATATATAATGGGTTAGTCATTTCTTGCAAAGAGCTGAAAAACTGTTGATGGAAACCCTGAACAGAAAATGAAACACACCCAATTTTGTGTGACTACTAAGAGTATGGAAACAAACAAACACGAAAACAAACAAACAAACCGAACAATGGTAGATGTAGGTCTACCTCTGCACCGGAAACAAAGTGGTTGAGTCAATATTGTTTCCATGTTATTCCACCTTTGTTATTACTGCAATGTAATCATGTTGCATCAATATAGCTTTTTTATTTAGCAAAAAGTAATTGACATACAGTATGTATGCAGTTTTCATCTCATTTGACCTGTTTGCCATGCAAATGTTCTAGAATGATTTCCCCACACCCTGTTTTCTTACAGTAAATTGACTGGTAAGCATGCGCTGGTCTGTCTCGCCGGTGTCTTCCCCTGCTTATGTTGACGGCTTAGTGACAGGCACCTGACTGAACACTAACAACAGCCAAATACTTAAGCAGAGGACAGAGTGACCGGCGTCCATCACCAGCCAGTGGCTTCAAGACATCACACACACACACACACACACACACACACACACACACACACACACACACACACACACAGGTGAGCAGACACATACACATACACACTTCCTGTGGCTGAGATGGGATGAAAAGATTGATTGAAAGATAGACATCGAGAGAGAGACAGAGAAAGACAGAGAGAGAAAGAACGAGAGAGAGAAACAGAGAAAAGAAAGACAGAGCGAGAAAGAAAGAGAGAGAAAAACAGAGAAAAGAAAGACATTGTATACAGAAACATCTGGTGCATAGCCTCCTGTATGATAGCTGTCTCCTGATTCTCAGTAAATCTCTGCTGTCTTTTTCCTCAGAATGAAGTTTTTGGTAGTTGTGGCTGCTGCTCTGGCAATGGCGAGCGCCGCTAGCCTTTCATTGGAGGACCTGGAGTTCCATGCCTGGAAACTGAAGTTTGGTAAGAGACGTATCTCTAGCCTATTCGTGTCAGCCTATTTCATTTCAGCCTCTTATCAATGACAATAATGGAGTGTGTGACTCTCTCCTCTTTTCTTCATGTTGATTATCTGTCAATCTGAACCTCTTCTTTCTCATTGTCCTGTTTAAGATGATATAGAGTAGGGGTCCCCAACATGTATAGAGCTACTCACAGCCTGCACATTTTGTTATTGTAGGCGTATATTTAATAGAGGCACCCAGTGCTTAATTTGAATTATTATTATTATTATTATTATTATTATTATTATTATTATTATAGAAAGAGGAGAGCAAAAATAAGTTTGAATGAAATTAGTTTTGTTGTACAAACATGTCAATATCGATGTTCCCGAACAGATTTCAGTTGGTTTTGGGATTTTGTGGCTTTAGTGGGCTACTGTCTGTCTGTTCTTCAAAGTGCAAATGCGTTCGTGACTGAACTCTATAGGTCATGATTCAGGTAGACAGGCTACCGCCAAAACGTGTCATAAATCCAACCGCAAATAATGTCGCATAGCCTATCTACCCCATCTAGGCCTAAGCATAACAGTAACCTACAATTCTATAAGGGGAAAAATCAAACGAATGGGCATATTAGATCATTTAAAATAAATGATGCAGTGTAACACTGGAGAGATAGAGAGAGGGTTGCAGGCTTATGTCTGTCAGAGCAGAGGGAGGGAGATAGCTAGAAGCACTGTTCTCTCTCTCTCTCTCTCTCTCTCTCACCACAGCAAAGGCCACGCGTTGGTTTCAAAACATAGCCTACACAGTTGCACAAACCAAAGAACAGTCACGGCCCACACAAATCAATTCTCAGAATATCGGCAAGAGAATTAACAAGGAGTCCATTTTATTTATCTCTGATCGCTCTCTTTAGAATTGTTACATTGCAAACAGTGAAAATTATGTTTCATGCCATGAGAGGAAGGTTCAGTGGCGATTTCAGCATGTACATCTTGATGGGGCAAACTCCCCCATTTAAAAAAAAATGCATGCCAAAAAAGCCACTACACAACACAACACAACACTAAACAATATCTGAATTGCACTATAAGGGTGACAAACAGTGCCCACAAACTGTTAGGGCCTACATAAAGCTGTCCCAACAGCAGAGCTTTCTTTTCAGCACCATGGAGTTAATCCTTACCACCGCTACACCTGGCTATCAGTGGAGCCTTGTCTGGCAGCGAAACCATTCAGCCTCATTTACTGCCTTTTTAAAAAACATAGCTGATATGGCTGACTGGCTTAAACAAATGTGGTTTCTATGACAAATGAGATGTACAAACTATGGCAAAAGGGAATGATGAGCGGATAAGTGGCAATCCATAATTTTGATTAAGACATTAATGAGCGAGCTAAGACGGACGTAGTCAATATAACTATTTGTTCAGCACTTTGGAAATGTACAGCGACAGAATTCAGAACATTCTTACAGTATTCTCCCTGTACACCAAGTCAGAACCGTAGGATAAATAAAGGGGGCATTTAAGCAGACAATGAAAGCTCTTACAATATTCGATGATGACATTTCTCTAAAACAGGCTATAGGCAACATGTGCACCACCAAGTCAGAACAGTAGGCTAATTTCTGAGGGGGAAAGGGACCAAATTATTAGGGTGAGGCACATGGGCTACTAACAGCTTACTACACAACATACACTTAGTATTACTTTCTTAGCCAGAGTATACATATCTCCCTGGCATATTACATCATTTATGCAGCAGCATACAAGACATTTTTGGACTCGCCGTTGTTGGGCTGTGCTCACTTGAACAGGAAGGTGGCACGGCGGTCCTTGTCATCAAACTTTGTCATCAAAGTCTGGCATTCTCTGGATTTATGGTGCTTTCAAGACAACTGGGAACTAGGAAAAAAACAAGGTTGAATCATGACGTCAGTGATCTTCAAGTCGGAGCTCTAGAAAGAGGCCCGAGTTCCCGACATGGAAGACCATTCAAAACGTATTTTCCCAGACGGAGCACGTTTTTTCCGAGTTCCCAGTTGTCTTGAACTCACTGAAGTCAGAGATTTCCCAGTTCCAAGTTTCCAGTTGTTTTGAACGCGGCAGAAGTCATGCTGGATTGACAACATGGCCAATTTATTCAACCTTTTCTGGCCCATGGTGTTGCATGTGAATGTTTATCCTTTTAAGCTTGGAAAAAATACCCTTAAACCCAAACTTGGACCATACACCCTCACCAATGAATAGCAGGCTACTGATTGCTTTGCAACGCAGTTAGCCACTGATTCCTTCCAAACCACTCTGTTAAATTTGCGATTTCCAACTTGTTGTGTAATGTCCACCGAAACGTTTTATCTATAATTTCTCTTCATATGACAAGGATTGAAAATGATTTGCCAGTAGATTGTCAACTTGATTTATGAGGATGACTGCTTGTCTAGCTTGCTAGCTAAGATTTTGAAAGTATGATGTTGACATGACCAGTCCAATCAAAGCTACGGTAGATATAACGTGATTTGACGTAATTTTATCTGTGGCCAATGACCTTGAGCCTTCTTGGATGGGCACTTCTAAGGTAAATCTATGGTAGCACCCAAGGGGCTTGAATTTTTTAGCTCTCCCCGTAGATTTTGTGGTGACATAGTGTCCCCATGAGGGACAGATCACTGAGCCAATGAAGGCGCAACTAACATTACCAAACCCTACGCATTGTATTTTCCGCTGGCTGCCCCACAAACACAGAAAGCACTGAGCTAGGCAGAAACACCTGTACAGTGGCTTGCGAAAGTCTTCACCCCCCTTGGCATTTTTCCAATTTTGTTGCCTTACAACCTGGAATTAAAATGGATTTTTGGGGGGTTTGTATCACTTGATTTACACAACATGCCTACCACTTTAAAGATGCAAAATATTTTTGGGTGTGAAACATACAAGAAATAAGACAAAAAAACAGAAAACTTGAGAGTGCATAACTATTCACCCACCCAAAGTCAATACTTTGTAAAGCCACCTTTTGCAGCAACTACACCTGCAAGTCTCTCGGGGTATGTCTCTATGAGCTTGGCACATCTAACCACTGGGATTTCTGCACATTCTTCAAGGCGAAACTGCTCCAGCTCCTTCAAGTTGGATGGGTTCCGCTGATGTACAGCAATCTTTAAGTCATACCACAGATTCTCAATTGGACTGAGGTCTGGGCTTTGACTAGGCCATTCCAAGACATTTAAATGTTTCCCCTTAAACCACTCAAGTTTTGCTTTAGCAGTATGCTTAAGGTTATTGTCCTGCTGGAAGGTGAACCTCCATCCCAGTCTCAAATCTCTGAAAGACTGAAACAGGTTTCCCTCAAGAATTTCCCTGTATTTAGAGCCATCCATCATTCCTTCAATTGTGACCAGTTTCCCAGTCCCTGCCGATGAAAAACATCCCCACAGCATGATGCTGTCACCACCATGCTTCACTGTGGGGATGGTGTTCTCGGGATGATGAGAGGTGTTGGGTTTGCGCCAGACATAGCGTTTTCCTTGATGGCCAAAAAGCTCAATTTTAGTCTCATCTGACCAGAGTACCTTCTTCCATATGTTTGGGAAGTCTCCCACATGGCTTTTGGCAAACACCAAACGTATTTGTTTAATTTTTCTTTAAGCAATGGCTTTTTTCTGGCCACTCTTCTGTAAAGCCCAGCTCTGTGGAGTGTACGGCTTAAAGTGGTCGTATAGACAGATACTCCAATCTCCGCTGTGGAGCTTTGCAGCTCTTTCAGGGATATCTTTGGTCTCTTTGTTGCCTCTCTGATTAATGCGCTCCTTGCCTGATCCGTGAGTTTTGGTGAGTGGCCATCTCTTGGTAGGTTTGTTGTGGTGCCATATTCGTTCAATTTTTTAATAATTAATTTAATGGTGCTACGTAGGATGTTCAAAGTTTCTGATATTTTTTTATAACCCAACCCTGATCTGTACTTCTCCACAACTTTGTCCCTGACCTGTTTGGAGAGCCCCTTGGTCTTCATGGTGCCGCTTGCTTCGTGGTGCCCCTTGCTTAGTGGTGTTGCAGACTCTGGGGCCTTTCAGAACAGGTGTATATATACTGAGATCATGTGACAGATCATGTGACATTTAGATTGCACACAGGTGGACTTTATTTAACTAATTACGTGACTTCTGAAGGTAATTGGTTGCACCAGATCTTATTTAGGGGCTTCATAGCAAAGGGGGTGAATACATATGCACGCACCACTTTTCCGTTATTTATTTTGTATAATTTTTTTATAGAAGTTATTTTTTTCATTTCACTTCACCAATTTGGAATATTTATTATTCTGTATATGCATCGGTCACGTCTTTCCCCTGCATTTTACAGCTTGTTTGTAGCATTACGGACTAAAGTGTCGTTAGATATTGCTTTATATAATCAGGTCCATTACATTTATTTCAAGATCTTAAACTAACAAGGCGTAGGCCTATGCTGTTAGCATTTATTTTTTTCAAAAACGTTTGCAAGGCACTGTATGCTGAGCATTTGTTGGCTGCTTTTCCGTCACTCTGCCATCTGACTCATCTCAAACCATCTCAATTGGGTTGAGGTCGGGGGATTGTGGAGGCCAGGTCATAAGATGCAGCACTCCAGCACTCTCCTTCTTGGTAAAATAGCCCTTACACAGCCTGGAGGTGTGTTGGGTCATTGTCCTGTTGAAAAACAAATGATAGTCCCACTAAGCTCAAACCAGATGGGATAGAGTATCGCTGCAGAATGCTGTGCCTTGAATTCTAAATAAATCACAGACAGTGTCACCAGCAAAGCACCCCCACACCATAACACCTCCTCCTCCATGCTTTACTGTGGGAGATCATCCGTTCACCCACACCACATCTCACAAAGACACGGCGGTTGGAACCAAACATCTCCAATTTGGACTCCAGACCAAAGGACACATTTCCACCGGTCTAATGTCCATTGCTCGTGTTTCTTTGCCCAAGCAGGTCTCTTCTTATTATTGGTGTCCTTTAGTAGTGGTTTCTTTGCAGCAATTCGACCATGAAGGCCTGTTTCACACAGTCCCCTCTGAACAGTTGATGTTGAGATGTGTCTGTGACTTGAAATCTGAAGCATTTATTTGGGTTGCAATTTCTGAGGCTGGTAACTCTAATGAACTTATCCTCTGCAGCAGAGGTAACTCTGGGTCTTCCATTCCTGTGGCGGTCCTCATGACAAAAAGTTTTAGCATAGCGCATGAGGGTTTTTGCGACTGCACTTGAAGAAACGTTCAAAGTTCTTGAAATGTTCCGTATTGACTGACTGTCATGAATATCTGTGGAATGCGGTATGCCAGAGTCAAGTGCACTGAATGAAATGAAAATCTACTTTACTGAATAGTAAAGAAACAAGCAAAACCTCCAAACACAGGGAGGAGCAAACCCGCTCACAAAAGACACTCTTAACAAGCAACAAACACTCACAACACACAGTCGGGGCGAACAGGTTAAATAGGGAAGGACATAATACAATAATGGGAAACAGGTGCGCAACACTAGACAACAACCAGGTGAACATAGAAACATAAAACATAGATCGGCAGCAGCTAGTATTCCGGTGACGACGAACGCCGCAGCCTGCCCGAACCAGAAGGAAGGGCAGTCTCGGCAGAATCCGTGACACTGACATTCATGTCTTAAAGTAATGATGGACTGTCGTTTCTCTTTGCTTATTTGAGCTGTTCTTGCCATAATATGTACTTGGTCTTTTACCAAATAGGGCTATCTTCTGTATACCCCCCCTACCTTGTCACAACACAACTGATTGGCTCAAACGCATTAAGAAGGAAATAAATTCCACAAATTAACTTTTAAGAAGGCACACCTGTTAATTGAAATGCATTCCAGGTGACTACCTCATGAAGCTGGTTGAGAGAATGCCAGGAGTGTGCAAAGCTGTCATCAAGGCAAAGGGTGGCTACTTTAAAGAATAAAATATATTTAGATTTGTTTAACACTTTTTTGGTTACTACATGATTCCATGTGTGTTATTTCATAGTTTTGATGTCTTCACTATTATTCTACAATGTAGAAAATTGTAAAAATAAAGAAAAACCCTTGAATGAGTAGGTGTATCCAAACTTTTGACTGGTACTGTAAGTCCATGTTAAAGCTAGAATCCTTAGTTGCTACATACATATTTTTTGGCTGAAATAGCCAAATCCACTAATAGACATACATTTTGACATCATGGATGGTCAGTCCTTGCATCCATATGAATTTGAGAGTGGTTACATTTATCCAGGCCCATCTCTCAGCTTTTTACTAAAACAGAGGTAGGGTGCCCGCTTTGCTATTGTTTCAATTAAGGACTATTCAAGTCTGAATAGGGTCCTGAATGAACTGACTTTGACTCCTACAGGAAAGTCCTACAGCTCTCCAGTGGAGGAGGCTCAGCGCAGGAGGTCCTGGATCTCCAACCGCAAACTGGTGCTGCTCCACAACATGCTGGCTGACCAGGGCATCAAGTCCTACCACCTGGGCATGACCTACTTCGCTGACATGGTATGGCCTAGACACATGCCATTTTAATTGGACAGTGAAGAATAGTTCACATATATGTAAATTCATGAAGGATAAAATGATAAAATGAAGAATAGAAGGAGCTCTTTGACTTCCCCTTTTTCAGAGTTACAGCATTGGTAGAAAATAAAAACAGCCTGTTAGTATGTAGGCTACTGTACCTGTTGTGCTCTGTATCCTCTAGTCTACCTGAAGTTAATAATTAGATACAACAGAATGATAGATACCCCAAAAAACAAGGGAAATACATTTAGTCTTTCTGAAATAATTGTGTCCATTGATTATAAATAATAATTAGGTCTGTCAAACGATTAAAACATTTTATTAAGTTAATTGCAGGATCTGCTGTGAATAATCGCAATTATTCCCATTACCCAAATCCTCAAAGTGAACAGGAATTTAAAGGGAAAATCCACTCAAAAACTATATTTTGGGATTTTTTTCATTAGTTCACTGTTGATACAGTCCCAAAATATTTTGCATGTCAGCAGTCAAGTTTTCAAGATATTGGACTTTAAAGAAGCAAAGTGTCACTGGCCACATCATCAATGTTTGTCTATGGAGATTGCATGGCTTTGTGCTCGATTTTATACACCTGTCAGCGACGGGTGTGGCTGAAATAGCCGAATCCACTAATAGACAAACATTGGCAGTAGAATGACCTTACTGAAGAGCTCAGTGACTTTCAACATGGCACCGTCATAGGATGATACCTTTCCAACAAGTCAGTTCGTCAAATTTCTGCCCTGCTAGAGCTGCCCCGGTCAACTGTAAGTGATGTTATTGTGAAATGGAAACGTCTATGAGCAACAATGGCTAAGACGTGAAATGGTAGGCCACAAAAGCTCACAGAAGGCGCGTAGCGCTTAAAAATTGTCTGTCCTCGGGATGCAACACTCACTACCGAGTTCCAAACTGCCTCTGGAAGCAACGTCAGCACAATAACTGTTAGTCGGGAGCTTCATGAAATGGATTTCCATGGCCGAGCAGCCGCACAAAAGCCTAAGTTCACCATGCGCAATGCCAAGCGTCAGCTGGAGTGGTGTAAAGCTCGCCGCCATTGGACTCTGGTATAGTGGAAACATATTATCTGGAGTGATGAATCATGCTTCACCATCACCATCTGGCAGTCCGTCGGACAAATCTGGGTTTGGCGGATGCCAGGAGAACACTACCTGCCCGAATGCATAGTGCTAACTGTAAAGTTTGGTGGAGGAGGAATAATGATCTGGGGCTGTTTTTCATGGTTCGGGCTAGGCCCCTTAGTTCCAGTGAAGGGAAATCTTAATGCTACAGCATACAATTACATTCTAAACGATTCTGTGCTTCCAACTTTATGGCAACAGTTTGGGGAAGGCCCTTTCCTGTTTCAGCATGACAATGCCCCCATGCACAAAGTGTGGTCCATACAGAAATGGTTACATTACAGCCTTTTTCTAAAATTGATTGAATTGGGTTTGTTCCTCAATACCACATAATGATAAAGGAAAAGCAGTTTTATTTACATTTTTGCACACACAAAAAAGAAAGAAAAAGAAAGAAAGACCTCATTTACATAAGTATTCAGACCCTTTACTCAGTACTTTGTTGAAGCACCTTTGGCAACGATTACAGCCTCGAGTCTTCTTGGGTATGACGCTACAAGCTTGGCACACCTGTATTTGGTGAGTTTCTCCCATTCTTCTCTGCAGATCCTCTCAAGCTCTGTCAGGTTGGATGGGGAGCGTCACTCCACAGCTATTTTCAGGTCTCTCCAGAGATGTTCAATCGGGTTCAAGTCCGGGCTCTGGCTGAGCTACTCAAGGACATTCAGAGACTTGTGCCGAAGCCACTCCTGCGTTGTCTTGACTGTATGCTAAGGTTCGTTGTCCTGTTGGAAGGTAAACCTTCGCCCCCAGTCTGAGGTCCTGAGCGCTCTGGAGCAGGTTTTCATCAAGGATCTCTCTGTACTTTGCTCCATTAATCTTTCCCTCGATCCTGACTAGTATCCCAATCCCTGCCGCTGAAAAACATCCCCACAGCATGATGCTGCCACCACCATGCTTCACCGTAGGGATGGTATTGGCCAGGTGATGAGCGGTGCCTTGTTTCCTCCAGACGCAACGCTTGGCATTCAGGCCAAAGAGTTCAATTTTGGCTTCATCAGACCAGAGAATCTTGTTTCTCATGGTCTGAGAGTCCTTTAGGTGCCTTTTGGCAAACTCCAAGCGGGCTGTCGTGACTTTTACTGAGGAGTCTGCTAAATGACTAAAATGTAAATGTAAATGAGTGGCTTCCGTCTGGCTACTACCATAAAGGCCTGATTGGTGGAGTGCTGCAGAGATGGTTGTCCTTCTGGAAGGTCCTCCCATCTCCACAGAGGAACTCTGGGGCTTTGTCAGAGTGACCATCGGGTTCTTGGTCACCTCCCTGACCAAGGCCCTTCTCCCCTGATTGCTCAATTTGGCTGGGCGGCCAGCTCTAGGAAGAGTCTTGATGGTTCCAAACTGCTTCTATTTAAAAATGATGGAGCCACTGTGTTCTTGGGGACCCTCAGTGCTGCAGACATTTTTTGGGACCCTTCCCCAGATCTGTGCCTTGACACAATCCTGTATCGGAGTTGTACGGACAATTCCTTCGACCTCATGGCTTGGTTTTTGCTCTAACATGCACTGTCAACTCTGGGACCTTATATAGACAGGTGTGTGGCTTTCCAAATCATGTCCAATCAGTTGAATTTACCACAGGTGGATTCCAATCAAGTTGTAGAAACATCTCAAAGAGGATCAATGGAAACAGGATGCACCTGAGCTCAATTTCGATATACAGTACCAGTCAAAAGTTTGGACACACCTACTCATTCAAGGGTTTTTCTTTATTTTTACTATTTTCTACAATGTAGAATAATAGTGAAGACATCAAAACTATGAAATAACACATATGGAATTATGTATTAACCAAAACAGTGTTAAACAAATCAAAAAATATTTTATATTTGAGATTATTCAAATACCCACCCTTTGCCTTGATGACAGCTTTGCACACTCTTGGCATTCTCTCAACCAGCTCTCCTTGAATACTTTTCAAACAGTCTTGAAGGAGTTCCCACATATGCTGAGCAATTGTTGGCTGCTTTTCCTTCACTCTGCCGTCCGACTCATCCCAAACCATCTCAACAGGGTTGAGGTCGGGGGATTGTGGAGGCCAGGTCATCTGATGCAGCACTCCATCACTCTCCTTCTTGGTAAAATAACCCTTACACAGCCTGGAAGAGTGTTGGGTCATTGTCCTGTTGGAAAACAAATGATAGTCCCACTAAGCCCAAACCAGATGGGATAGAGTATCGCTGCAGAATGCTGTGGTAGCCATGCTGGTTAAGTGTGCCTTGAATTCTAAATAAATCACAGACAGTGTCACCAGCAAAGCACCCCCACACCATAACACCTCCTCATCCATGCTTTACGCTAGGAACTACACATGCAGAGATCATCCGTTCACCCACACCGCGTCTCACAAAGACACGGCAGTTGGAACCAAAAATCTCACATTTGGACTCCAGACCAAAGGACACATTTCCACCGGTCTAATGTCCATTGCTCGTGTTTCTTGGCCCAAGCAGGTATTTTCTTCTTATTGATGTCCTTTAGTAGTGGTTTCTTTGCAGCAATTCGACCATGAAGGCCTGATTTACACAGTCCCCTCTGAACAGTTGATGTTGAGTTGTGTCTGTGACTTGAACTCTGTTAAGCATTTATTTGGGCTAAGATTTCTGACGCTGGTAAATCTAATGAACGTATCCTCTGCAGCAGAGGTAACTCTGGGTCTTCTATTCCTGTGGCCGTTCTCATGAGAGCCAGTTTCATCATAGCTCATGCTGGTTTTTGCGACTGCACTTGAAGAAACTTTCAAAGTTCTTGAAATGTTCCGTATTGACTGACCTTCATGTCTTAAAGTAATGAAGGACTGTCGTTTCTCTTTGCTTATTTGAGCTGTTCTTGGCATAATATGGACTTGGTCTTTTACCAAATAGGGCTAACTTCTGTATGCCCCCCCCCCCCCCCCCCCCCTGCATTCCAGGTGTATACCTCATGAAGCTGGTTGAGAGAATGCCAAGAGTGTGCAAAGCTGTCATCAAGGCAAAGGGTGGCTATTTGAAGAATCTCAAATATAAAATATATTTTGATTTGTTTAACACTTTGGTTACTACATGATTCCATATGTGTTATTTAATAGTTTTGATGTTCTCACTATTATTATACAATGTAAAAAATAGTAAAAATAAAGAAAAACCCTTGAATGAGTAGATGTGTCCAAACTTTTGAAGTCGGAAGTTTACATACATTAAGTTGACTGTGCCTTTAAACAGCTTGGAAAATTCCAGAAAATGATGTCATGGCTTTAGAAGCTTCTGATAGGCTAATTGACATAATTTGAGTCAATTGGAGGTGTACATGTTGATGTATTTCAAGGCCTACCTTCAAACTCAGTGCCTCTTTGCTTGACATCGTGGGAAAATCAAAATAAATCATCCAAGACCTCCGAAAATTTTTTTGGGTCCTCCACAAGTCTGGTTCATCCTTGGGAGCAATTTCCAAACGCCTGAAGGTACCATGTTCATCTGTACAAACAATAGTACGGAAGTATAAACACCATGGGACCACACAGCCATCATACCGCTCAGGAAGGAGACGCGTTCTGTCTCCTAGAGATGAACGTACTTTGGTACGAAAAGTGCAAATCAATCCCAGAACAACAGCAAAGGACCTTGTGAAGATGCTGGAGGAAACAGGTACAAAAGTATCTATATCCACAGTAAAACGAGTCCTATATCGACATAACCTGAAAGGCCGCTCAACAAGCCACTGCTCCAAAACCACCATAAAAAGCCAGACTACGGTTTGCAACTGCACATGGGGACAAATATCGTACTTTTTGGAGAAATGTCCTCTGGTCTGATGAAACAAAAATAGAACTGTCTGGCCATAATGACCATCGTTATGTTTGGAGGAAAAAGGGGAATGCTTGCAAGCTGAAGAACACCATCCCAACCGTGAAGCACGGGGGTGTCAGCATCATGCTGTGGGGGTGCTTTTCTGCAGGAGGGACTGGTGCACTTCACAAAATAGATGGCATCATGAGGAAGGAAAATTATGTGGATATATTGAAGCAACATCTCAAGACATCAGTCAGGAAGTTAAAGCTTGGTCGCAAATGGGTCTTCCAAATGGACAATGACCCCAAGCATACATCCAAAGTTGTGGCAAAATGGCTTCAGGACAACAAAGTCAAGTTATTGGAGTGGCCATCACAAAGCCCTGACCTCAATCCTATAGAACATTTGTGGTCAGAACTGAAAATGCGTGCGCGAGCAAGGAGGCCTACAAACCTGACTCAGTTACACCAGCTCTGTCAGGTGGAATGGGCCAAAATTCACCCAACTTATTGTGGGAAGCTTGTGGAAGGCTACCCGAAACGTTTTGACCCAAGTTAAACAATTTAAAGGCAATGCTACCAAATACTAATTGAGTGTATGTAAACTTCTGACCCACTGGGAATGTGATGAAAGAAATAAAAGCTGAAATAAATAATTCTCTCTACTATTATTATGACATTTCACATTCTTAAAATAAAGTGGTGATCCTAACTGACCTAAGACAGGGCATTTTTACTAGGATTAAATGTCAGGAATTGTGAAAAACTGAGTTTAAATGTATTAAGGTGTATGTAAACGTCCGACTTCAACTGTAGTATATCATTTTTGACTGGATTTTTCCTTTAAGGTTTTTCATATAAAAAAACATCACAAGAATATTTACATCTTGATTTTGTCTAAGGTAATGGTTAGCAAAATTAGGTACATTGAGAAAGCACACTTTCTGTAACCTCAATGTCAACTTGTTTTTACATCGCATTTTACAGTCGTTGTCAAAAGTTTTGAGAATGACACAAATACTAATTTTCACAAAGTCTGCTGCCTCAGTTTTGATGATGGCAATTTGCATAAACTCCAGAATGTCATTGAGAGTGATCAGATGAATTGCAATTCATTGCAAAGTCCCTCTTTGCCATGAAAATGAACTTAATCCCAAAAAAACATTTCCACTGCATTTCAGCCCTGCCACAAAAGGACCAGCTGCCATCATATCAGTGATTCTCTCGTTAACACAGGTGAGCGTGTTGACGAGGACAAGGCTGGAGATCACTCTGTCATGCTGATTGAGTTAGAATAACAGACTGGAAGCTTTAAAAGGAGGGTGGTGCTTGAAATCATTGTTCTTTCTCTGTTAACCATGGTTACCTGCAAGAAAACACGTGCCGTCATCATTGATTTGCACAAAAAGGGCTTCACAGGCAAGATATTGCTACTAGTAAGATTGCACCTAAATCAACCATTTATCGGATCATCAAGAACTTCAAGGAGAGAGGATCAATTGTTGTGAAGAAGATGTCAGGGCGCCCAAGAAATTCCAGCAAGTGCCAGGACCATCTCCTAAAGTTGATTCAGCTGCGGGATCGGGGCACCACCAGTGCAGAGCTTCCTCAGGAATGGCAGCAGGCAGGTGTGAGTGCATCTGCACGCACAGTGAGGCGAAGACTTTTGGAGGATGGCCTGGTGTCAAGAAGGGCAGCAAAGAAGCCACTTCTCTCCAGGAAAAACATCAGGGACAGACTGGTATTCTGCAAAAGGTACAGGGATTGGACTGCTAAGGACTGGGTCATTTTCTCTGATGAATCCCTTTTCCGATTGTTTGGGGCATCCGGAAAAAAGCTTGTCCGGAGAAGACAAGGTGAGCGCCACCATCAGTCCTGTGTCATGCCAACAGTAAAGCATCCTGAGACCATTCATGTGTGGGGTTGCTTCTCAGCCAAGGGAGTGGGCTCACTCACAATTTTGCCTAAGAACACAGCCATGAATAAAGAATGGTACCAACACATCCTCCGAGAGCAACTTCTCCCAACCATCCAAGAACAGTTTGGTGACGACCAATGCCTTTTCCAGCCTGATGGAGCACCTTGCCATAAGGCAAAAGTGATAACTAAGTGGCTCGGGGAACAAAACATATACATTTTGGGTCCATTGCCAGGAAACTCCCCCATTGAGAACTTGTGGTCGATCCTCAAGAGGCGGGTGGACAAACAAAAACCACAAACTCTGACATACTTCAAGCATTGATTATGCAAGAATGGGCTGCCATCAGTCAGGATGTGGCCCAGAAGTTAATTGACAGCATGCCAGGGCGGATTGCAGAGGTCTTGAAAAAGAAGGGTCAACACTGCAAATATTGACTCTTTGCATAAACTTAATGTCATTGTCAATAAAAGCCTTTGACACTTATGGAATGCTTGTAATTATACTTCAGTATACCATAGTAACATCTGACAAAAATATCTCATAACACTGAAGCAGCGAACTTTGTGAAGACCAATACTTGTGTCATTCTCAAAACGTTTGACCACGACTGTAGATATAAGGTTTATAGGTTATGTATTTTGGTTGTTTTCAGTGTATTTTCAATGCTTTCAGACAATGCAATTAATCACAATTTTTTAATTGAGTGCACAAAAATTACAAAACGTTAACTCGATAAAAAAACAAAACGATACAAAATAAAGTGCATAAACAATGAAGTTGCCAGACTTCAATATGCGTCAGACTCCAGAAATAAACATGTCTATTTCTTTCACCCATTGAATCCCTCATTCACCCCTCTCTTACCTGTTACATGTCCATGGTGCCGGCTGACATTCACTCACTCACTCATTCAAAATCTTTCTCTCACTCACACAATCCTTCTTTCCCTCAATAAGTCACTCTCTCACTAACAAAACTCCTCAGTGGTGGAAAGAGTACTGAAATATCCTACTCAAGTAGAAGCAGTGGTGATTTAACATATAAATCTTGGTGGGGCAAACTCCAAAACATTTTTTTGATGCATGTCAGCAAAGCCACTACACAACAGTAAACAATACATTAATGCACTATAACTGTGACAAACGGTGCCCACAAACTGTTAGGGCCTACATAAAGCTGTCCCGACAGTGGAGCTTTAGTTCACTCAGCCTCATTTACTAACTTTTTAGCACCATAGCTGATATGGCTGACTTGCTTAAATAAATGTGGTTTCTACTGACTCCTTTTGGATTGTTGTAAGTCGAGAAGAACCGCATTGTCTTTCAATAATAAAGAACGCCAACATGAGTTTTGACTTTTGAACCATACACAAACATTATTACATTTATGTTCAGTAAATTCATAATGTTTGTTATTATATCATTAACACTTAGCTCTAAGTATAACCAAGTGCAAGCAAAAGAGCTGTGACGAGGTAGGCCTATTCGTTCGTACTTTCAAAATGGACACCGACAGAAATTCAGATAGATGTTAGTTCATATAAATTTAGCATGATGTTGAGGCCTTAACTTTACTCTTCTTTAAGTCAACACAGAAAGAGAGAGAGAGAGAGAGAGAGAGAGAGAGAGAGAGAGAGAGAGAGAGAGAGAGAGAGAGAGAGAGAGAGAGAGAGAGAGAGAGAGAGAGAGAGAGAGAGAGAGAGAGAGAGAGAGAGAGAGAGAGAGAGAGAGAGAGAGAGAGAGAGACAGTTAGCCTACCATTTGAAGTATTTTATTAAGCCTATGTGGTCTAAAAAGGAAGGAAAATACAATCACGAGGATCCACTTTTATAGACAATATACCAACACACAGACAGTGAATTGCGCAAACAAAACAACCGTCGCAATATCAACTGGAATTACATGGGTCTATTACTGAACTTTTTGTTGAAAACACATATTTGAATGGGAAGAGACTGTCACTGGCAAACATTGTTACAGACCCAACAACATTATATAGTATCCCCTCCTTCTGAAGAAAAGCACATGAGCTAATTTATGCAGCAGCATACAAGACTCATCGTTGTTGTGCTGTGCTCACTTGAACAGGAAGGTGGCAATGCGGTCCTTCTTGTGGGAAAATGCTGTCATCAAAGGTGCTTTCAAGACAACTGGGAACTCTGAAAAAAGGTTGAATCATGACGTCAGTGATCTTCAGGTCAAGCTCTAGAATGAGTCCTGAGTTCCAGGCTTGGAATTCCGAGTTGGATGACCGTTCAAAACGTATTATCCCAGTTGGAGCTCGTTTTTTTCAGAGTTCCAAGTTGTCTTGAACACACTGGTCTGAGATTTCCCAGTTCTGACATTCCAGTTGTTTTGAATGCGGCAGAAGTCATGCTGAATTGACAGCATGGCCAATGTATTCAACCTTTTCTGGCCCATTGTGTTGCGAGTGAATGTTTATCCTTTTAAGCTTGGAAAAGAGACCATTTCAGACAGATGTTTTAAATCCTTAAACCCAGACTTGGACCACACACCCTCTCCACCGAATAGTAGGCAAGGGAAGCAAAATAGTGATTGCTTTGCAATGCTTGCAGTTAGCCACTGATTCCTTCCAAACCACTCATTGTTGAATTTGTGATTTCCGACTTGTTGTGTAATGTTTATGTCCAATGGCCGATGAGCACCGATACCTTTTATCTATAATTTATCTTCATATGACAAGGATTGAAAATGATTTGCCAGTAGACTGTCGACGTGATTCATGATGATGACTCGTTATATCTACCAACCAAAGCTATGGTAGATATAACGAGATTTGACGTCATTTTATCTGTGGCCAATGACCTTGAGCCTTTTTGGATGTGCACTTCTAAGGTAAATCTATGACAGCACCCAAGGGGGCTTGAACTGCCTGGATCTCCCTGTAGATTCTGCGGTGACGTAGTGTCCCCATGAGTGATAGACCACTGAGCCAATCACGGTGCAACTAGAGAAGATTACCAACACCTACGCTCTGTATATTCCGCTGGCTGCCCCGCCACCACAGAAAGCACTGAGCTAGGCTGAAACACCTGCATTTTGGAGCTGCCTTACTCAAGAAAGAGACCATGTTTGTATGCGGCTTGGATTCACATGGACAGTCTATGTCATGGAAAGAGCAGGTATTCCTAATGTTTTATACACTCAGTGTATGTCTATTGTTCTGCTATCACAGGAAGACGAGGAGTACAGACGCGTCATCTCCCAGCGCTGCCTGGGCTCCTTCAATGCCTCCAAGCCCCGCGGTGGCTCTACCTTCTTACCAATGCTCGGGGACAACGACCTGCCCACCACAGTGGACTGGAGGGACAAGGGCTATGTCACCCCCATCAAGGACCAGAAGGATTGCGGCTCCTGCTGGGCTTTCAGCACGGTAAGAGAGGGAGAGGGAAGGGGTTAAGAGAGTGAATGAACTACAGCATAGACTCTGCTCTACTTAGACGTAGTTGAGTAATTGCTCGGCCTGTTCTACTCATTTACCTACAGTACCAGTCAAAGGTTTAGACACACCTAATCATTCAAGGGTTTTTCTTTATTTTTTACTATTTTCTACATTGTCTAATAATGGTAAAGACATCAAAACTATGAAATAGCACATATTGAATAATGCAGTAGCCAAAAAAGTGTTAAACAAATCAAAATATATTTTACATTTGAGATTCTTCAAATAGCCACCCTTTGCCTTGACGACAGCTTTGCACACTCTTGGCATTCTCTCAACCAGCTTCACCTGGAATGCCTTTCCAACAGTCTTGAAGGAGTCCCACATATGCTGAGCACTTGTTGGCTGCTTTTCCTTCACTCTGCCGTCAGACTCATCCCAAACCATCTCAATTGGGTTGAGGTCAGGGGATTGTGGAGGCCAGGTCATCTGATGCAGCACTCCATCACTCTCCTCTCCTAGGTTTTGCCTTTCTAGGGAGTTTTTCCTAGCCACCGTGCTTCTACACCTGCATTACTAGCTGTTTGGGGTTTTAGGCTGGGTTTCTGTACAGCACTTCGAGATATTAGCTGATGTAAGAAGGGCTATATAAAATAAAATTGATTGATTGATTGATTGGTAAAATAGCCTTACACAGCCTGGAGGTGTGTTGGGTCTTTGTCCTGTTGAAAAACAAATGATGGTCCCACCAAGCGCAAACCAGATGGGATGGCGTATCACTGCAGAATGCTGTGGTAGCCATGCTGGTTAAGTATGCCTTGAATTCTAAATACATCACAGACAGTGTCACCAGCAAAGCATCCCCACACCATAACGCCACCTCCTCCATGATTTACGGTGGGAAATACACATGCGGAGATCATCCGTTCACACACACCGTGTCTCACAAAGCCACGGCGGTTGGAACCAAAAATCTCAAATTTGGACTCCAGACAAAAGGACAAATTTCCACCGGTCTAATGTCCATTGCTCGTGTTTCTTGGCCCAAGCAGGTATTTTTTTCTTATTGGTGTCCTTTAGTAGTGGTTTCTTTGCAGCAACATGACCATGAAGGCCTGATTCACACAGTCCCATCTGAACAGTTGATGTTGAGCTGTGTCTGTGACTTGAACTCTGTGAAGCATTTATTTGGGCTGCAATTTCTGAGGATGGTAACTCTAATGAACTTATCCCCTGCAGCAGAGGTAACTCTGGGTCTTCCATTCCTGTGGCGGTCCTCATGAGAGCCAGTTTCATCATAGCGCTTGATGATTTTTGCGACTGCACTTGAAGAAACTTTCAAAGTTCTTTAAATGTTCTGTATTGACTGACCTTCATGTCTTAAAGTAATGATGGACTGTCATTTCTCTTTGCTTATTTGAGCTGTTCTTGGCATAATATGGACTTGGTCTTTTACCAAATAGGGCTAACTTCTGTATGCCCCCCCCCCCCCCCCCCACACACACACACCTTGTCACAACACAACTGATTGGCTCAAACGAATTAAGAAGGAAAGAAATTTCACAAATTAACTTTTAAGAAGGCACACCTGTTAATTGAAATGCATTCCAGGTGACTACCTCATGAAGCTGGTTGAGAGAATGCCAAGAGAATGCAAAGCTGTCATCAAGGCAAAGGGTGGCTATTTGAAGAATCTCAAATATAAATTTGTTTAACACTTTTGATTTGTTTAACACTTTTTTGGTTACTACATGATTCCATACATGTTATTTCATACCAAAAATAAAGAAAACCCTTGAATGAGTAGGTATGTCCAAACTTTTGACTGGTAGTGTATGTATAATGTATTCTGTTTGTGTGGTGAGAGCGAAACAATAATGAGTGTGTGTTTGGGTGGTGTATCTTATATCCCCAGTCTGTAAATGTTTACATTTTTGTATTCGGCTGTTTTCCAAACATTGTGGGCTGTGGCCCTAAAATTATGCATAGGAACATCTATTTGAATGCAGTGGTGTAAAGTACTTAAGTAAAAAAAACTTGAAAGTACTACTTAAGTAGTTTTTTGCGGTAGCAGTACTTTACTTTACCATTTATATTTTTTGACATCTTTTACTTTTACTCCACTACATTCTTAATGAAAATAATGTACTTTTTACTCCATACATTTTCCCTGACACCCAGAAGTACTCGTTACATTTTGAATGCTTAGCAGGACAGGAAAATGGTCCAATTCATGCACTTATCAAGAGAACCTCTCTGGTCACCCCTACTGCCTCTGATCTGGCGGACTCACTAAACACAAATGCTTCATTTATAAATTATGTCTGAGTGTTGGGGTGTGCTGCTGGCTATCCATAAAAAAATAAAAAATAAATCGTGCCATCTGGTTTGCTTAATATAAGGAATTTGAAATTATTTATACTTTTACTTTTGATACTTAAGTATATTTGAGCAATTACATTTACTTTTGATACGTATATATATATACTTATAAGTATATTAATAACCTAATACTTTTGGACTTTTACTCAAGTAGTATTTTACTGGATGACTTTCACTTTTACTTGAGTCATTTTCTATTAAGGTAACTTTACTTTTATTCAAGTATGAGAATTGGGTACTTTTTCCACCACTGTTTGAATGTGAGTGTCCTTCATTTCACAGTTATGTCTCCCTGCCACATCTCTCTAACTCTCCATCTTTGTGAAGGCAACCTACACAGGGACCTTCTTTATAAACAGACAGAGAAACACACACCATGGAGACATTGGAAGTGCATTCAAAGACTCCAGAATTCTTAAATTAGATTTTTCAGAAAGTGGTCTTAAAGTTTCCATCCAGTGTTCAAGATTTTTTATGAAATATTACCTCAAATGAATTTAGATATGAATTAAATAGATGTCCTTCCAAAACATTTGTATAATTAAGGGTGTTAAAAATAAACGTTATATGTGGCCCTGCTTGGCCTGTTGGGAAACAACAGAGTGGTTTGGGCATATAGTGGTAAAAAAACTGATTTGACAGCTCAGCCAATGAGATGCGAATACACTTGGATATTCAAATTAGCTTCCACACTAAATAGTATTGATGGATTCAGGATTTGGAAATGCATGATGGAACTACTAGGGCACCTTACTACAACAGCAAATATATGCAGAAGGAATATTTCACAAGCATTAGTTGTTTCTATCCTTTGCTTTGTTAGCTACCTAACTAGCTGTGAAGCTAGCTAGCTAGCTGCTGCTGCTACCTCTATTAGTCAACAACAGCTAACTAAGTTTCCTCTTGACATAAAACTTTTAGCAATAAATCACAGGATTTAAAATACAAGGAAATGGTGAAATGATTGTTGTGTGGAGGATCTACTTTAAATTGCTTTCTTGTTGGCTAGCTAGCTAGCCAAGTAAGCCGCGATAGCTAACGTTAGCATACAAGCTAACATTAGCTAACTGCTTCTAAACTGCCAGCAGGCCAACTCTTACAAATCACACAGTTTGAAATAGAAGTGACTTGCGAGATAGTTGTTGCATTGGCTTTGTCCTTTTTGCTAACATCAGCTGTGGACTGCTTGGCTTGCTAGCTAGCTTGCTTTTGTGCAGTGAGTCCTGAGCCCATGTCTCCCCTAGTCTCGAGAAGGATCCTTCTCCCCATCTGAGAATTTTGGATAAAAAGGAAAAGGCTGCTGGACCAATCATACGGGCCTGTTTCGGCCAAAGAGGATGATGTCATTATGCAAGCAAATTTAGTTTGAGATGGTGTTTTTCTTTAATTTATGATTTGGCCAATACTACAGGTAAAAGACGAGTCAACAACATTATTTGGGTATGAGCAAACAGAATATGATCTTTTAAAAATCAGATTTTCACTGGACAGTTACTTTAAATTAGATTTTTTTGCATAGTTTTAAAGGAGCCCCCTGCCCCCAGATGAAGTTCCTGCCACTAATTTCCTGTCCTAGAGAGTTTAGGTTCCACCTCCGAAGAATGACAAAGGCTACTTATACATATTCACGAATTGGGTGTGATTGGGTGTGATTTCCACTTGAAGCTGTCAACTGTCAGTGTATCTAGCTAGCATGTTTACGTTATCTAGCTAGCTATCTTGCTAACCTTATCTAGCTAACTGATATTTTCTGTTGTTGCAGGGTTTTTTTTTACTACACCGTATTCGAAAGATTAGCCAGCTGGCTGTATGGCTGGTTCTGGAGCTGGATTTGTCATAAGCATTGATTTAAGGAAAACTTCAACACAGATTAAAGCTTATCTTTGACTTCACCATCTATTGTTATCTCCAAAGTTTTGGCATCTTCCGTAATTGCAGCTACAAATCCGCCATATAAATAGTTAGAAAGAATAAGATGAAGCTCCGGTAGTATGGATAACAATTGAAAGATATGCATTTTTCTACATTGTAATGGACACGGTGCAACCTTTGGTAGTTAGGCTGCAGTACAGCAAAGCCAAGTCAGCCCATGCTCATGGTTCTCACAGGGGAAGTGAAATGATAGGCTACAATGATTTTGCTCATGATCATGCATGCCGCAAATTACATGTAACACGCCTTTTCATTATCTGGATAGGCACTTGTGGTTTCTAGCTGACGTTACACCAATCCAAGCAGTGGCGCGTGTAGTGAAGCAAAACATTAGTGGTCAAAACCATTTATCCTGGGGCAAGCGGGTTTACAAATTGCTATCATATCACGCAGTTATACCATTTATAAAATGGTAATATATACAGTGCATTCGGAAAGTATTCAGACCATTTCCCTTTTCCACATTTTCTTATGTTACAGCCTTATTCTAAAATTGATTAAATTAAATATTTTCCTCATCGGTCTACACACAATACCCCATAATGACAAATCAAAAATCTTTAATAATAAAATAATAATAATAATAATAATAAAAAATAACAAAATATTGACATAAGTATTCAGACCCTTTGCTATGAGACTCGAAATTGAGCTCAGGTGCATCCTGTTTCCATTGATCATTCTTGAGATGTTTCTACAACTTGATTGGAGTCCACCTGTGGTAAATTCAATTGATTGGACATCATTTGGAAAGGCACACACCTGTTCATATAAGGTCCCACAGTTGACAATGCATGTTCTTAAATGGAAGAATTTTAGAACCACCAAGACTCTTCCAAGAGCTGGCCGCCCGGCCAAACTTAGCAATCTGGGGAGAAGGGCCTTGGTCAGGGAGGTGACCAAGAACCCGATGGTCACTCCGACAGAGCTCCAGAGTTCCTCTGTGGAGATGGAAGAACCTTTTTGGTTACTACATGATTCCATATGTGTTATTTCATCATTTTGATATCTTCACTATTATTCTACAATGTAGAAAATAGTAAAAAAATTAAGAAAAACCCTTGAATGAGTAGGTGTGTCCAAACCTTTGACTGGTACTGTATATACAGTGGGGAGAACAAGTATTTGATACACTGCCGATTTTGCAGGTTTTCCTACTTACAAAGCATGTAGAGGTACACTTCAAATGTGAGAGACAGAATCTAAAACAAAAATCCAGAAAATCGCATTGTATGATTTTTAAGTAATTAATTTGCATTTTATTGCATGACATAAGTATTTGATCACCTACCAACCAGTAAGAATTCCGGCTCTCACAGACCTGTTAGTTTTTCTTTAAGAAGCCCTCCTGTTCTCCACTCATAACTGCACCTGTTTGAACTCGTTACCTGTATAAAAGACACCTGTCCACACACTCAATCAAACAGACTCCAACCTCTCCACAATGGCCAAGACCAGAGAGCTGTGTAAGGACATCAGGGATAAAATTGTAGACCTGCACAAGGCTGGGATGAGCTACAGGACAAAAGGCAAGCAGCTTGGTGAGAAGGCAACAACTGTTGGCGCAATTATTAGGAAATGGAAGAAGTTCAAGATGACGGTCAATCACCCTCTGCCTGGGGCTCCATGCAAGATCTCACCTCAAGGGGCATCAATGATCATGAGGAAGGTGAGGGATCAGCCCAGAACAACACGGCAGGACCTGGTCAATGACCTGAAGAGAGCTGGGACCACAGTCTCAAAGAAAACCATTAGTAACACACTACGCCGTCATGGATTAAAATCCTGCAGCGCACGCAAGGTCCCCCTGCTCAAGCCAGCGCCCGTCTGAAGTTTGCCAATGACCATCTGGATGATCCAGAGGAGGACTGGGAGAAGGTCATGTGGTCTGATGAGACAAAAATATAGATTTTTGGTCTAAACTCCACTCGCCGTGTTTGGAGGAAGAAGAAGGATGAGTACAACCCCAAGAACACCATCCCAACTGTGAAGCATGGAGGTGGAAACATCATTCTTTGGGGATGCTTTTCTGCAAAGGGGACAGGATGACTGCACCGTATTGAGGGGAGGATGGATGGGGCCATGTATCGCGAGATCTTGGCCAACAACCTCCTTCCCTCAGTAAGAGCATTGAAGATGGGTCATGGCTGGGCCTTCCAGCATGACAATGACCCGAAACACACAGCCAGGGCAACTAAGGAGTGGCTCCGTAAGAAGCATCTCAAGGTTCTGGAGTGGCCTAGCCAGTCTCCAGACCTGAACCCAATAGAAAATATTTGGAGGGAGCTGAAAGTCCGTATTGCCCAGCGACAGCCCCGAAACCTGAAGGATCTGGAGAAGGTCTGTATGGAGGAGTGGGCCAAAATCCCTGCTGCAGTGTGTGCAAACCTGGTCAAGACCTACAGGAAATGTATGATCTCTGTAATTGCAAACAAAGGTTTCTGTACCAAATATTAAGTTCTGCTTCTCTGATGTATCAAATACTTATGTCATGCAATAAAATGCAAATTAATTACTTAAAAACCATACAATGTGATTTTCTGGATTTTTGTTTTAGATTCCGTCTCTCACAGTTGAAGTGTACCTATGATAAAAATTACAGACCTCTACATGCTTTGTAAGTAGGAAAACCTGCAAAATCGGCAGTGTATCAAATACTTGTTCTCCCCACTGTAGATATTTAATACAGACTACATCAAAAATAAGTGAACATTTAAAAATGATCCAATGGATAATGATAATTTTCTGGGGGGAAAAAGTGTAGGTGCGAAAACATAAGTTTGCACCCCCTATTTTAATTTGGTCCACGGCTCAGGCAGCCAAGTGGACACAAGGCTCTTTGGCTCATCTCAGTCGCGAAGAGGAATAACTTTGCAGCTGTTTCTGATTAATAAACAATGCCATGCTGGTCAGAGGTAACATTCAAATAAAACCCAGCCCTGAAACGAAACATAGGCTATCATAGGAAAAGACACCGCATTCACACGGATTTGCACGAAGTGGGCAGTTCGGATTTGTCACATTAAGCCCCAAAATATCATAATTTGACTAAAACAATGACTTATTGACTTAAATCGTTGTGCAATATCGTGGGTAAGCTCTGGCCATCGTCTTTCAGCTCAAAAAAGTGGAGTCCTACTGTGGTTGGCGCTTAAGTGTGCTCCCCCCCACCTCCCTCCCTCCTTCACTCCCTCCCTCCCTCCCTCAGACTGGCTCTCTGGAAGGCCAGCACTACAGGAAGACCAATAAGCTGGTGTCCCTCAGTGAGCAGCAGCTGGTTGACTGCTCCGGCGAGTTTGGCAACATGGGCTGCATGGGCGGTCTCATGGACCAGGCCTTCGAGTATATCAAGTCCTTGGCCCCTGGAGGCCTGGACACTGAGGACACCTACCCCTACCATGCTGAGGTGAGCACTGAACAGTGGGCAGGGTTGTGTTAATTAGGACTACACGTTTAAAAACATTTCAGTTCATTTTCTTCCATTTGGTACCTAATGAATACACCCTAGATCTTGATAGAAGTTGTCTTTAGGTACAGATCTTGCATCAGATGGCTCTCCCTAAAGCCCAACTGTTAAGCATTAGAAATTAGAAATGCCAAACTGACCTTAGATCAGTGTATAGATAGGGTCAAATTCATCCTTCTCCCAGTGTGGTGCAGGCCCACACGAGCCCCATACAGAGCAGTAGTAGGCTACAAGGTTGGGCTCAATTCAGAATTTAATTGAGAATGCCTCATCATTTCCAATTAAATTATTGAATTTGAATTTAATTTGAATTGAAGCAGTAAACAGTATACAGAATTGCAATTCAAATTTGAATTAAAGGAAATTGAATGATTGATTTCAGTGAAATTAAATTAAAATTATTATATTCTATAATAGGTGTAGTCTATACAATCATACATCTTGTACATAAAAACATCAAACATGTCGTTATATACATGCAAATAAAATATTGTTGAAACAATTGATTTTCAGGACAAACTTTTAAAATGTGAATAGTCAAGGAAAACAAAACTTGAATGTGAATATTTTAAGTTGTTATATTTCATTAATCACTTAAAGGTTCTTAAATATGGGGTAAATACTACATTTCCCAATGCATTAGTTTAACCCTCAAGTTGACCCTGAGACCTTCAAAAAGAAGCCAAACAAATGAAATGGTTGGTGGAAATATAATTGGCTATTATAAGCACTAAGGTTAAAATAGTATATGAACATTGTTTCCAGAGAAAGGTGATATATTCTTTGGTATCTGGAAGTATGAACTGTCAGATTCAATAAAACTCATGTTCTATGACTGTGGAATTTATTTTAATTGCACTGAATTCAATTCTACTTCCTGTCACTCAAACTCAAATTCTACATCCTAATTCTAATTTCAAATCTTGAATTGAATTGGAGTCAATTCCAACATTCTGAATTGAGCCCAACCCTGGTAGGCTATGACAACCTCCAGACTCAAGGAAGAAATACAACAGTGACATCTAGTCGACATGGTTAGTGGTGCAGACAGTTGAGAGAGCATTATTTTACAATGACACATTTAGGTGTGAATAGAATATTTAATATTTGCTAAGTTGTATGTGCTTACACTTCTACTAGTGCATGCTATTTTGGTCAAATTTTAAGAATACTTAATATTTTTACATACAGTCAAAATAATGCTTTTCTACTGAACTTTTGCCATAAACAATTACCAACTACACTTCTATACTGTATATTTAACAATGTCTTTCTATGACAGGACAAAATGTGCCGCTACAAGCCAGACAGTGTGGGTGCCACCTGCACCGGGTACGTTGACGTGACCAGCGGTGACGAGAGCGCCCTGCAGCAGGCTGTGGCCACCGTCGGACCTGTGTCTGTGGCCATCAATGCCGCACACTCATCCTTCCAGCTCTACAAATCAGGTGAGGTCTTTTTTAGTCATGCCTCTCTCCAGCCGAATAAGGTTAGGCCTTTTAAGACACGCCTCTCTCTAGATGAATCAGATTAGGCTTTTTAAGACACGCCTCTCTCCAACCTGGACCTACACCTGTCATCTTGGTCAAACTTTAAACAAACTATAACTTATAAGGCATTATAAAGCCTTCAGAAACCGTTTATAAACCCATTATAAGCTAATAACAGGTCCTGACATCTGGTTCTTTAACAAATGTGGCATAAGCCTTATACTACCCATTAAATACTATGACATTTTCTCATGAATGATTTTTGAAGCATTTATGTAGGTAGGCCTTATAAAGGGCTTATGAAAGCTTCATTGAGACTCAATAAGTTATGGTTCATAACTGTGAACTGAATGATCTATGAATGATCTATGAATGAATGATCTATCTATTCTTTCTTAGATGTGCAGTAAATGCTCCCTGTGTGTTTTGTACATTGAATGCAATGTATTGACTTGGGCGTCAACAATCGTGATGCATATCCCTTTGCAAAATGTTCAAAATGTGACACATGTAAACGGACACCAGGCTGATTGTGTGTATATTGAGAATAACTGAGTGGTTGTTCATTCCCAGGTGTCTATGATGAGCCAGAGTGCAGCAGCGATCAGCTGGATCATGGTGTGCTGGCTGTGGGCTATGGCACTAGTGATGATGGCCAGGACTACTGGCTGGTGAAGAACAGGTAAATAACATAATGTATGCTGTATGAAATCAAGCTAGGCCTATCTGATTGGTCAAGAACAACCATGTTGGACTGCTTCAACCATGGTGTTGCAGTTGCATTTCCTAATCTCAGTACTGTCAGAGATGGGCTCCGTTATAACAGGGCCAGTGTGGTTAGTAAGAATGGGGCCTGATGTGCCAATAACAAACTACGATGCTTAAAACAGGTGGTTGAAGCGGTCCAACACACTAAGATCAATGTTGCTATGCTATTGCTAATTGCTAAGTGTTTGCTTGATGTGTGTGTTCTAGCTGGGGCCTTGACTGGGGAGATAAGGGCTACATGATGATGTCCAGGAATAAGCACAACCAGTGTGGCATCGCCACGGCTTCCAGCTACCCCCTGGTCTAAGGGTGAGTCTGACGGGCATCAGTGTCTATTACAACTGCTGTATATCTAAGCTCGCTTACTATCTCATTAGTTACCATAGCATTAGATCACAACTATATCTGTAGTCTAATAACTAAGGGCTCTATTCAATCCGTATGGCGGAAGTTCAGCGTGACTGAAATGTAAAGGCAATGTTCCCGCGTTAGCGGAGACTGCATTCACTGGAAACGCTGCATATGTCGGCTTTAATTACCTTTACATTTCTATCACGCAATCGGTAACGCTTCAGCGATACAGATTGAATAGAGGCCGAACACACCTACTAGCAGTGTCCATCCCAACTACATATTATTGAAATGATAACCATGATCAGCTGATGTTAAACCACAGCTTTACTGTGTATACTCCCTCCCAGACAGAAGGGCCTTTGTGTGCTGAGTAAACATTCATATTGGATTGAAGCAGAGCCAGAAGTAAACAAATCTTATATACTTCGCAAGGCCAAAAGCGAATTCCGTTTGGCAATTCATCACACATCTTTCCACAAACAGATCAAATCAACTTAATCATTGTAATCCACAGTGATTAATGTGCAGTACAGATGTAGTATCTTAATTTAATGACAATAATCCTGCAGCAACAGGAAATGTGAATTATTATTTGGATGGTGATTTTTGTAAGGGTTGATACATTTTCTGTAAGGAAAACGCTAGTCTGAAATTACAAACTTCAGAAGCTTTTTTAAACCTCAAATACACTACATGTTCCCCTGCAACAGGGTGATCAAATTTAAGAGGAATTTCACCCTGGGGACTCTGGGCTTGTTTTCATCATGTCCGAGGCATTTCTAGGTCCGTGAGATGTGTTTCACACATAATTGCCCAGAAGGAAGGCAGGTCTGGGCTTCGCGCGCTGAATGATACACCCTATGACGGCTTTCGGTAATATTAATGCGCGGGGGGGATCTGAAAATAATTGTAGTCCTGCTTTGTGGCATTTCGTGAAGGCTCTATGTGATACTGATCACACTACAGATGTAGGATCTTAATTTGAGCCAATTTGCTACAGCAGGAATGTGAATTATTATGTAGATTATAATTAATGGACATTTTTTGTAGGTGTTGATACATTTTACATTAGGGCAAATCAAGTCTGACATTTTAAAGTGGAAATTACAACTTTAGAAGCCTTTTTAAACCTAGAAGTTTGCATTTCTCATCAACAAAACAGTGTTCAAATTAAGATCCTACATCTGTTTACATTTTTGTGCATGTAGATATGGTTGTCCTTGTTCGATAGAGCCATTGGATGTCTTTCAGTGATGCTCCTACTGGCGGATTAATTGCTAAATGAACAAGCTGACACATTTTTTCTCGAGTGGGGCGGTGCTTTGTGCAAGAGGGCAGATGACAAATACGGTGGCTAGCTCAGTTATTTTTACTGCAAGCCACCTAGCTAGCTAACTTTAGTTTATCTATTGAAACCAAAATTGTGTATTGATGGCAAACATTAACATACTACTGTGTTACAGTAGGGGGACATTATTATTAGGTAGCTAGCTAAGTTAGCTAACCAACTACAGGTAGCCATATCTATTGTATCTCGATTGTAAAATCTCTTCTCTTTTTAGTCGTAGATATAGCTACTAAACAGCAAGCTACAACGTTACAACCAGGGGCTGGAACCTAAATTATTTCCAATAGTTTCGTTCTGAACAAAACCATTTTTTGTTTCGTTCCGTTCCACTGATCCGACCAGCAAAATATAGTTCTGAACCGGTTCGAAGCACCTTTCTGTTCCTTTTGAAACTTCTGAAATCGACATTAAATTACTTCACCAATGGATAGAGCAGCTTGCTATGGAGAGGGAAAGCTATGTACATGTATTGGACAGACAAGTGTAGTGTAGTGTAGGGTGCAACATGCGACTGAAATTTAGCGGGTGATGAGAGTGCTGGGCATCTTGTTGTTATGACATGCATTATCTGAATTAGACCCACGGAATTATACCTACGGAGGAGCGGCTTCTATGAAGGAACTTTGAATGTCTTTGAACTTAAGAGAGTTGGCTTAACAAATGTTGGACCAGAGCTAACCCTTGATCATGATTCTCATTTCCATTACATTACACATAATGCCGCCTAGAGTTTTTGAGAGCTAGACCAGAGCTATCTTAGCTAGCTAGCAAGCTTGTGTGTGCAGAGCAGCACCATAATTAAAATCATCATCATCTTACCTTGTCACGATCGTCGACAGATGAAGCGGACCAAGGCGCAGCGTGATAAGCGTACATTCTTTATTTGTGTACACACACGAACCAAAACAATAAACCAAACGATACGTGAAGTCCTAGGTTATACACAAAACCCTACGGAACAAGATCCCACAAAATACTAGTGCCAAACAGGTTGCCTAAGTATGGTCCCCAATCAGAGACAACAAGCTACAGCTGTCTCTGATTGGGAACCACCCTGGCCAACATAGATATAAACGATCTAGAACAAAAGCATAGAAAATGTAACAGAAACTCCACACCCTGGCTCAACATTTAAGAGTCCCCCGAGCCAGGGCGTGACAGTACCCCCCCCCCCCCCAAAGGCGCGGACTGCGACCGCGCCACACCAACACAACGGGGTAGAGGCCGGGTGGGCATTCCGCCTCGGAGGCGGATCCGGCTCAGGGCGTGACCACCACTCTCTCTCTACCCCCCCGTAGCGCCCCTGGTCTGGTCTGGCCCCGCTAGCCGGAGCTGGACTGGACCCCGGTGGAGCGGATTGCTCTGGCTCCGGTGTGGAGCAGCTGACCGGTGCCGGACCAGGCACCGGTGGAACAGGCACGGACCGTGCCGGACTGACGACGCGCACCACTGGCTTGGTGCGGGGAGCAGGAACGGGCCGGACCGGGCTGACGACGTGCACCACTGGATTGGTGCGGGGAGCAGGAACGGGCCGGACCGGGCTGACGACGCGCACCACTGGCTTGGTGCGGGGAGCAGGAACGGGCCGGACCAGGCTGACGACGCGCACCACTGGCTTGGTGCGGGGAGCAGGCACGGGCCGGACCGTGCTGGCGACGCGCACCACTGGCTTGGTGTGAGGGGAAGGAACGGGCCGGACCGGGCTGACGACGCGCACCATTGGCTTGGTGCGGGGAGCAGGCACAGGCCGGACCGGGCTGGCGACGCGCACCACTGGCTTGGTGCGAGGGGCAGGAACAGGCCGGAACGGGCTGTTGACGCGCAACACAGGCTTGGTGCGAGGGACAGGAACAGGCCGGACCGGGCTGGCGACGCGCACCACAGGCTTGGTGCGGGGAGCAGGCACAGGCCGGACCGGGCTGGCAACGCGCACCACAGGCTTGGTGCGGGGAGCAGGAACAGGCCGGACCGGGCTGGCGACGCGCACCACTGGTTTGGTGCGAGGGTCAGGAACAGGCCGGGCTGGACTGTGGAGACGGACTGGAGGTCTGGAGCGGAGAGCTGACACAACCCGTCCTGGCTGAATGCCTATTTCCACACAATCTGTGTGAGGCATCAGCACAGGACGTACAGGGCTGTGCACTCGTACTGGCACTACAGCACGTGGCACTGGCACAGGATATCCGGGACCGAGGAGGGGTACTGGAGGCCACGAGCGTTGAGCCGGCACACTCCGTCCTGGCTGCATGCCCACCTTAGCACGACACGTGCGTGGTGCTAGCACAGGACGTACAGGACTGTGCCGGAACACTCGCGGCACAGTACGTGGCTCCGCATAACACGGAACCTGCCCAGTCTCACGCTGCCTAGCCTGAGTACGGGGAGTTGGCTCTGCTCTACCTCTAGGCTCCGCCAACCACCCTTCCAGCCCCCCAAACCTGGTGGCCTCCTCTCCTAGTCCGCCGATTTGTCCTGTAGCTGCCTCCAGCAGCCCCGTCGTCCACGCCGTGTGCCCCCCCAAAAAAATTACTTGGGGTTGCCTCTCGCGTGTCCGTCATCGGCACGGTTGGCGCCGTTTCTCCTCTCCTGCCTGGGCATTTACTTTTGCCCATGGCCCTCTGCCCACAAATATGTCCTCCCAAGACCACCATTCGCCCACCTGGGACATCGCCAACTTCTCCTCCTGGGCACGCTGCTTGGTCCTCTGGTGGTGGGATCTTCTGTCACGATCGTCGACAGATGAAGCGGACCAAGGCGCAGCGTGATAAGCGTACATTCTTTATTTGTGTACACACACGAACCAAAACAATAAACCAAACGATACGTGAAGTCCTAGTTTATACACAAAACCCTACGGAACAAGATCCCACAAAATACTAGTGCCAAACAGGCTGCCTAAGTATGTGCCCCAATCAGAGACAACGAGCTACAGCTGTCTCTGATTGGGAACCACCCTGGCCAACATAGATATAAACGATCTAGAACAAAAGCATAGAAAATGTAACAGAAACTCCACACCCTGGCTCAACATTTAAGAGTCCCCCGAGCCAGGGCGTGACATACCTATTTGTAGTTAATAAATCCAATGTGAAACGTGATGACTATAGTATCCTTAACTAGCAGATTTTCAGCTTGCAGGCAGACAGACACTGGAATAAGATTCTGAGTGACAGTGAGGGCTTTGCATAGGTGCTTTGTTAAAAAATTTTGTCGTCCAAAAAGTTATACTTTTGAATCATCTGTCCATAGAACGTTCTTCCAATAGTCTTGAGGATCATCCAGGTGCTTTTTGGCAAACTTGAGTCAACTTTTTGGACGAGATGGGTCCCATTATGCCTGGCGAAAACCAAACTCTGCATTCCACAGTGAGAACATCATAAGAAAAGGTCAAGCATGGTGGTGGTGGTGTGATGGTTTGGGGATGCTTTGCTGCCTCAGGACCTGGATGACTTGCCTTAATAGAAGGAACCATGAATTCTGCTCTGTATCAGAGAATTCTACAGGAGAATGTCAGACCATCCGTCTGTGAGCTGAAGCTGAAGCGCAGCTGGGTCATGCAGCAAGACAATGATCCAAAACACACAATCAGGTCTACATGAAAATTG